AAAATTTTCAGTTTTACCCAAATTGCAATTGTCTTGGGGAAATGCTTTGTAGGCACTAGGGAGAATTGTGAATAGGTTTAACTTATACTAGATAAGCACAGTTCTTTTACGAGTATTAACAGTAAAACTGTTCTGTGGTCATGTTTATTTCTTGTCCTCAGGTGAATGTTTGAGGTGCATGTTCTGGAATAATCTTGGTTGCATCCATTTTGCCATGAGCAAGCACAATTTGGGGATTTTCTACTTTAAAAAGGCTCTGCAGGAGAATGACAGTGTCTGCGCACCGCTCAGCGTGGGCAGCACCGACCCAGGTGCGTGCAGTGCTGGGGCAGTCTGTGTTTCACTGCCTGAGGGAAGGGTGACTGGTCAGAAGGCATGTCCTATATACCTACATATAGTCCACACTGGCCAACAGGTTTGGTCGGGGGGGGGGTGTCTCAGTAGATAGCACTGCTTTGAGTAGCAAGGTGTTAGGTAAAACTCAAATTCTGTGACTCTACCAAGCTAGTGTTTATGACAGCTTCTTTTCAGAGTTCCGTGTGTGATACACTTGGTAGCATTTGACAGCCTTTAAGGAAATTCCTAAAGTCCATTCCTTTAATATTTGTTTTATGTGAGTTCTTGAGCTGAGATACTTAACATCATATAATTACTTAGCTATTTCCATTTAAAGCATTTAATTGATGATATTCTTATCCAGACTCGAAAGCAGTCTTCTCTAAGGACTGTGAAACGTATGCCTGCGTGTGCCATACTCATTGTAGATGTGCTACCTTGATCTGTATTTCCATAGGAAAGTGTCTATGCCAAGCTGAAGAAAAGCAAGTTTTTCCTATAGTCTCTCAAACTGTGGGCAAGGTGGTGCTAGGCGTGACTGGTCCCAACTCTGCCCTCCCCTTTCTGGAGCTCGTGGCTCGAGGAGCTGGGAAATGCAGGCTCCTGTGGCTCTGCCAGCACAGCAGACCTCTGCAGTCGGTTTGTGGGGTAGGTGTGGAGACTGTGGCTGAGAGCTAATGTGTTTTAAATCAGGGTTAGGTAGTAGAAAGGGTAGCCTCAAAGGACATTATGGAATAATTATTGTCACTTACTTTCAGTCTTAGGCTAAATTCTCATCCAATTTTTATCACTAGGTAAAAAATTTTCTGGGAGACCTATGTGTACATTACTAACCAACAAGCGGTATGAGTTATTGTATAACTGTGGGATCCAGCTGCTTCACATTGGAAGACCTCTCGCTGCCTTCGAGTGTCTGATTGAGGCCGTGCAAGTTTATCATGCAAATCCTCGCCTCTGGCTGCGACTGGCTGAATGCTGCATTGCTGCCAATAAGGGGGTGAGTGCCCCTTGACTTTGAGCAACGCCCCCACCCCACTTATTACATGAAAAGCACAGAAGACCTAAGAAAGGGCGCATCCCCTTCACGACCCTTCATGAATTTACTGTAAAGATAGCTTCCACTGTTCCTTAACATTTGAGACAGAAAACTTCACTTCAGACATTCATCCATTACCATTTAGGTTCTCAGTAAGTAGGGTACCCTGTCTCGGCACTTACATTAGAGTGAAGCCGATAAGAAGACCAGATCTTCTGGGACCTGGGTCTGTGAGGGGAAGGGCCAGGACGTCTGCTGGTGTGAGAACAGGGTTGCACCAGGCCGCTAGAGAAGGACTGGCGATCGCATGGTGTGCATATGGAAAGAACAGCATTAAGCTCCGTGTCCTTCCACGCCTGGGCTCTTCAGTTGATGGAGAGGTCGCCGGGCTATTCCTCTAATGCAGCGGTTCCCAACCTTCCTAATGCCGTGACCCTTTCATAGGGTTCCTCATGTGGCGGTGACCCCCCAGCCATAAAACTATTTTCATTGCTACTTCAGAACTATCATTTTGCTACTGTGGTTAATCAGGTGACCCCTGTGAAAGGGTCGTTCAACCCCCCAAAGGGGTCGCGACCCACAGGTTGAGAACCGCTGTCTAACAGGTCTGTCCGCAAGGCTCTGAGAAACAGGCCAGATTGCATCAGGGTCCATGCTTAGATGCTCTGCAAAGGGCAGTGAAGGGTGCCCTTTGATTCTCAAATGGAGGGTCAGCGAGAGGGATGGAAAAGTCGGGTTGTATCAGAATTACCATATGCCCTCTCACCCCACATCCCGCCCACTCCCCCCTTGCTTTACTCTTCGGGGCGTGGGGTCTGGGGAGCTCATATGCTGAGGTTGCGACTGATGTGCCTTCTGGAAGTGATCGAAAATGCTGACCCTCCCTCCTAATGGCCGAGCACACTTCCTGAGAAGCAGCCACAGGAACCCTACGGAAAGTAGACCCTGTGTAAGGTGCACACCTGTCAGAGCAGGCAAACGCGAGTAATTCAGTGAGCGGAGGAGAGCTGAAACGCTCAGGACGGCCTTATTTTTTGGCTCTTCGAGTTTTCTCCTCTGACAGTACAGTCTTCGCACTTGTATGTTGTGCAGTCTTCGCACTTCTCGCTTGTACTAGTGAGAGACATTTGAGATTTCCTTCTCTGCCATGCTTCCACCTTCCATGCCTTTGGTGAGTTCTACTGTGGTTTCTGTAGTAGAGACAGGAAAGTGGTAAATGCAGCTGCCTAGGGGTTAAGATTTGAGTCCAGCACTGGGGGGAGGGATGGGGCTGTCTTTGAAAGCCTTTAATGATTTATCAAGTTATAGTTTGCCTTCTAAAAGCCAAATGTCTTTTTTTTAAACTATAAATTGGAAAAGGGATTTATTTATTTATGAACCATTTTATTGGGGGCTCGTACAAGTCTTATCACAATCCATACATACATACATTGTGTCAAGCACATTTGTTGCCATCATCATTGTCAAAACATTTGCTTTCTACTTGAGCCCTTAATATCAGCTCCTTATTTTTCCTCCCCCCGCCCTCATGAACCCTTCATAATTCATAAATCATTATTATTATTTTGTAAAGACAAATGTCTTACTGAATAAATTTAGAATGTACTGATCATGAGCAATTCTAGGCAGAATTGTATTGAAAGAAAAGGAAACTCTAGCGATTGCTTCTTCGCTGCCGTCCTTTCATGAATTTCGGTGTTGGGGATCTTTGTAGTTACTGGCCAGTTACTTTTCCCTGCGAGTAGAGAAACACATTGAAATAAAACCATCGCCATGGAGGTGATTCCAGCTCACATCGACCCTCTGGGACCAAGTGTGTTCCTTAGCATATCCCCACTTTTCTTGTAGAAAATTCTAAATTTGGACCAACAACCAAAAAACCAGTGATGATGACTTTTGGTCACCAAAGTTGGGTTGGTACGTAAGAGAACACGTACAATCTGCACTATTAATAGAAAAGAAAAAAAGAACAAAAACTAACGGCCCTTGAGTGTTCTGACTCCTAGTGACTCTACAGGACAGAGGAGAATGGCCCCTGTGGCACTCCAGAGGCTGTATATGTTTATGAGAGTAGAAAACCATCTTTCTCCCAAGGAGGGCCTGGTAGTTTTGAACTGCTGACCTTGTTGTTAGTAGCCCATCTCATAACCCAATACGCCACCAGGTCCCCTTGTTAATAAAATAAAGTTGCCACAAATAATTTATTTCTGGCTGTACTTTTCCTCATGACAAGAATTTGAGGTAGCCTAAATATTAGTAAAGTGAACAAAACATGATGACGCTGTCAGGTATTAAATTGTTAACCACAAAATCAGAGATTCAAACCCACCAGCTACCCCTTAGGAGAAAGATGGGGCTGTCTTTTCTTAGACTGAATCATAGTGCATTTGGGTTTTTGTTTTGTTTTGCTTTCAGGATGAGGCGACTACCACCAAGGTATTATAAAATAATGACTATTTCAATTAGACGTCCTTCCACACTGAAACTAATGTGACGTACTTTCTGGCTATTGGTATGTTAGTAAAGGTCTAGTTTTTTGTTGTGGGCTTTTTAGTTCCTTTCCATCAGGGCCAGTTTGCTTCAACTCAAAATGAGTTCTGATCAGAGTTTTGTTATAGTTTTTAAGCATTGTAATGAATACACAAAGGTGTTTTTGTGGTATTAAAATTCATACATGGAAAGCAACTGTAATAAGATAACATTAGAGGGCAGTAAGTAATAGTGCAGAGACATTTATGTTAGGGAAAGACTGACTGCCACAGGGCTGAGTTCAGTTCTGTAGGTCTGGATTGCAAGTCTCTAGCTGGTTCCTCAATGCAAGAGTGAGTCAAGAAATCTCGCTATTGAGTGTTGCAGTTCATACATGCCCAGGCTCACTCTCGACAAAGGAAATGTGTACATGTCTCTGCCATCAGTGGATGCTGCAAATGAGTTCTCAGTAATGCCCTTGTCTTAGACTCACTGGGGAGGGCCTTCCAAAGAAGATCTAGTCAAAACAGTGGTTTGGTGAGATGGGGGCTTGGCCTATTCGGATCAAGGCAGAAAAGTCAGCACAGGTTATAGCAACTATTTGGGAGACAGGTACTCCAAAGAGATCATCTTGATTACCTCAGAAAAGGTAGGACAATCATATAGACATTTCTAGAAAATTGAAATCTGTTGGTGGGGAAGGAGAAAAAGGCCTGGAAAGTTGCATTGAGGAATTTTTTGAAAGCCATGAACCTGCTTCTTCAGTGATAGCAAGGCTTGTCCTCTAAGGATTTCACTGGAAGCCTTACACCCCCATCCCTGATCATGGTCCTTGGGACTTCTCTTTGCTCCCACGCCTCAACACGATTTGAGTCCCTCAAGGAGGCCAGCTGTAATTTAACATGCTAGGAATTGAAGAGGGCAGGATTCTTTGGGGAAGGGTTAGAAGGATGGAATCGCCGCCTTCTGGAATATTTGTACCTGCTAGATGGAGGGTATGTGGAAAAACAACTGCTCCACATTTTGTTATTTTAATGATTACAGGCTTTTTCCATTTCCTAGATGGCAAGAATTGTGCTCGTGTATTTCCTAACATAGGTCTCTTGTTAGAGTTTATGTGTTGTTAACATTTCGGTAATTTTAGTCCAGGAGGAAGCTATGTATTTCAGGAAGAGGAGCTACATGTGGGTGACACTGTTGCTTTGCTTACTGACCTCAGAGGGCCTGGGTGCACATTGCAGAAGTACTGTAAATGAATGTTCCCGTCATTCTTGAATTATTTTTTCCCCATAGAATTCGCTCACATCGCATTATAACAAAGTATAACATATATCACATACTTTCAACCCATGCATTCTTTCCTGTGATATACATACTTGGGAGCTTCAAAAAGTTCATGGAGAAACAGAATGAAAAGATAATGGAATTTTTCCACCAACTTTTTGAATCTTCATCATATCCTTGTTCCTAAAAATTCATCCATGAAAAAAAAAAAATTCACCCATGTTGATGGACCATAGAGAACTTCCTTATACTTAGAGTAACTGCTAAAAGTCTTCTAAGACTGTCTTTCAGTTCCCTTAAATTTATTGGAAATTATTTTTACTTTATAGACTTCTGAACAAGAAACTAAAGGTCTTCCTAGCAAAAAAGGAATTGTACAGTCTATTGTTGGTCAAGGCTATCATCGGAAGATAGTTCTGGCATCACAGTCCATCCAGAATACTGTATATAAGTAAGTATTTTGCTAAGAGAAATCGTGTTTCTGTTTAATGCTATTCCATACGATGTTTCCCTTTCATTGTAATTTGAGTAACAATGTGCAGAGCAAATTGAGTACCATTCAATAATTCATACACAGTCCCCACCATGTAACAGCTCTCCTCCCCACTCTCTCCCTAGTTGACCACTGCCATTCGTACTTCGTTCCTGACTCTCAGCCTTCTGATCTTTAGTTCTGGGCAAGTGTTGCCCTCTTACTCCTACAATATTT